TTATTTATATATATATATATATATATATATATATATATATATATATATATATATATTATATATATATATTTCTTAAGCTGAATATAAGAAGTCATTAAATGCTGGATTGAGTAATTATGCACCATGTATCATTTGAGAATAGCCACCAGACAACCAGACAGTAAAGAAGAGAATGATAAGTGATCAGTTTTGTAAGCAGCATATATATATATATATAAGTAATTTTGGAGCATTTCTGTCCATACAGCATGAAATCTTTCACACGGTGTAATTTTTCTTGACAAAATTGCTTAAAACAGGTAAAAAATATCTAGAAAAGAGCTAGATAATCTTATAACAAGAGCACAGCCATCTTAATATAAGAAATGAGATAAATTGACTTAAAATTAAGATATTTCACTTGACAAGGTACTATTTTTTGCAGTGTAAACATCCATGGTAGGTGGATCACCACTTAAAGTCTGATGAACATAAAACTAGATCTAGTTTAGTCTATCATTAAAGGAAAACATAGTAATGCCAACATTCAGAACATTCCTCAGATGAATAAAAGGGCTATATTTTCTACAATGTGTGTTTTCAAAAATAATTCTGATTCGTACTGAAATAAAACTAATGAAATTGTGTGGAATTAGAGGTTTTATTCTAAAAGATTGCAATACTATATGAACTATACACCGATCAGGCATAACATTATGACCACCTCCTTGTTTCTACACTCATTGTCCATTTTATCAGCTCCACTTACTATATAGGTGCACTTTGTAGTTCTACAATTACAGACTGTAGTCCATCTGTTTCTCTGCATACTTTGTTAGCCCCCTTTTACCCTGTTCTTCAGTGGTCAGGACCCCCATGGACCCTCACAGAGCAGGTATTATTTGGGTGGTGGATCATTCTCAGCACTGCAGTAACACTGACGTGGTGGTGGTGTGTTAGTGTGTGTTGTGCTGGTACGAGTGGATCAGACGCAGCAGTGCTGCTTGTGAGGTACAGATCAAAGTCATTATCTTGAAAGCTTGAACCCACCCACCCACCCACACACACACACACACACACAAAGTCCCTGATTATTGTTTATTTTTCTTTGATTGCCATAGTGATTGCTTTCTTTGTTGGTGTTGTTTTTTGTTGTACTGCTTGATTTCTGAGTATATTATTTACTCTCTCAGAGTGATGTAAAAATCTGCAACATTCATATTGCCGGCAGTCTTACACGGCAACACTGATCCCAATTAAAATAAAACATTCTCTGTACATATTCTGCGATATGAATAGAGTATGTTGATATATTTTAATGTACCAGTTTGAAGAACCGCTTTGTCCACATCTGCCAAACACTCTGAATGCCTTTGATAGCTGGCAGAGTGGAAATATAGAAATAGCTTCAATAATTGATAAGTAGAGCTGCACTTGTTAAATTTCAAATGAGGTTTATTTATAGTACGCAAACTGTAAAAAAGCCAGTTTTAGAAAATGATGTGGATGCAGAGAGTTCAGCTGAAGCTGTGTGGAGCTCAGTGAAAGTGTCTGGGTTTGGTACTACTTCACTGTGAGTGCAGTGAATTTCAGGGGTTTGTATCCTACATGTTTCTTCTATGTGATCTTTTCCCCTGATGACATTTATGCGATTTTATTTGTCATGATTCATCTAATATGACCACTTTCCAAATATCTTAGAATTAATCAGCCTGTTTTTTGTTACAGCACCTAAGGCTGATATATGTAAATGATCGCTGATCTGATTGGCTACCCTGTATTGTACCTCATTCCAATAGCAGTCCAGGCTGAAACGCTCCTTATAACTTTAAAATGAATGAGATCAGAGTAAGGTCTAGAAATCAGATTAAGAAATTTAATAAAGAGTCTGGATTTTAGCTCAGTTATCAGATTTCTCAGTGCATGTGAACTCTTACTCTGATTTCTTTCGTATTTCTCAGTCTGTGCATGAGCGAAACAGATGGCGGTACCGGAAATAAGTGAGCAGTGTTGCTTTGAGATACAAGCACTTTTGGAGTGATGCTGAAACCAAATACATGCTTGATGAAATGAAGGATTTAAATATTCTTCGTCTTCTAGATGATGTATGTTCATATTTTCAGGTAAAGTGGTGCGATGTTTTTTAAAAAGCCGAGGCATGAAGTTTGAGTTTTACGTTACGTTTATGTCACATCTTCTGTGAGTTTATTGGCTGGTTGCAAAGCAGAAATCTGATTACTGCCTGATTCATGTAGACCCAGAGTTTCCCCATTATCTGATTACTCAAGTGCATGTAAACGTGTCGATCAGATTACTGCCGAAATCTGATTTTCTGCAGTTATCAGATTATTAAATGCATGTAAACACACTCACTCAATGAAAGTCTTATTTCAATAATTTAAAAAAAAATTAACTGCAGCCCAAGTCACAACACAAAGAGATGTATTAGGGGAACATCTGGAGAGCCGAGGTCTGAAGTTATTAATGTTGTTTGGCTATAATACTTAGTTCAAGGAGACAATTATTACTTACTTAATAACATTTACATT